TATCCTATCTACTTGTTCTTTCATTTATTGAGAGGGGTACTGAAATCTCCAATTATAAAATGTGGTTATCTATTTCTCACTGCATTTCTAGCCTCATGTATTTTGAAACTCTATTATTAGGTAAGTAAATGTTTAGGATTGTCATGACCTCTTAATTAATTAATTGCCTACTGTAAAAGCCTTTCTTTATCTTTACAACTACTCTGTAGTCTACTTTTCCTGATATTAATATAGCCATTTCAGCTTTGTTTTGGTTAGTGCTAGCATGTAGTATCATTTTTCATTCTTGTACTTTTAAGTTGTATATGTCTTTATATTTGAAGGGTGTATCTTACAGGCAGCATATAGTTGGGTTTTACTTTTCATTAAATATAACAACCACTCTCTGTTAATTAAGGTTCTTAAACCAGATATATTTGACTACTGATTTAGGTTTCAGCTTTAGTCTGCCATCTTGCTATTTGCGTTTTATATGTCCCATCTATTCTTTGTTCCTTCTTTCTTCTTCTTCTGCTTTCTTTTGTATAATCCACTTTATTTCCTTTGCTGGCTTATTAGCTATTACTTATAGTTTTGTTATTTAATGGTTGTATTAGAGTTTATAGTATACATCCTTAGCTTATCACAGTCTGCTATTCAAGTGATGGTATAAAAACAAACAAACAAACAAACTGCCATAGAGTTGGATCCAACTCATAGTGACCCCTCCTTGGGTTTCTGAGGCGGTATCGCTACGGAAGTAGATTGCCCAACCTTCCTTCTGAGGAGTGGCTGGTGGGTTTGAACTGCCAGCCTTCTGGTTACCAGTCAAATGCCTTAGGCACTACACCACCAGAGCTCCCAAAGTGATGGTATATAACATATAATACAGAAACAACAATAATAGACTTCATTTTCCCCCTTCCTATTTTGGTGTTGCTGTTATTATATATTATACATGTGTTTCAGACCACACAATACATGATTCTTATTTTTGTTTAATTAATTGTCTTTTAAAGTAATTTAAATAATAAGAAAATATTATTAAGTTCTAATTAAGTTTCCATTTCTGGTGCTCTATCTTAAATCCTACGTGTAGACCCATACTTCCATCTAGTGTGATTTTCCTTTTGCCTGAAGAACTTCCTTTACCATTTTTAGTTGTGTGTGTCTGCTGGTACTTAACTTCAGCTTTTGTGTGTAAAAAGTCTTTATTTCACTTTTTTTTTTTTTTTTTAAGAGATATTTTGGCCAGGCATCAAATTCTTGGTTGAGTATTTTTTTTTTCTTTCAGTACTTTAAAGTATTCCACTAACCTCTTGCTTGCATCATTTCTGACAATAAATCTGATGTCATTTTTGTTTCTCTGAATGTCGTTGCCCACCCCTGGCTGCTTTTATGATTTTCTCATTATCACTAGTCTCAAGCAATTTTTTCATGATGTGCACTGGTGTCATTTTCTTTGAATTCTTGTGCTTGGATTTCACTGAACTTCTAGTATCTGTGGACGTATAATATTCATCAAATTTTGGGAAAATCTATTGGTTCTTCAAGTAGTTTTTCTTCCTCTTTCTCCTTTTTTCAGGGACTCCAATTTCTAATTTCTCCCATAGCTCAATGAAGCTCTGCTCATCTTTTAAAAATTTCTTCTCTCACTGTATTTTTAATAATTTCTCTTGTTTTATCTTGAAGTTCATTAATCTTTTCCTTCTGCAATTCTAATCTTCTAATAATCTAAGCCCATGTATTTTTCATCTCAGAGATTTAAGTTTTCATCTCTACAAATCTTACTTGGGTGGTTATTCTTTTTAACATTACCTTCCATGTCTTATTTTCTGAACATATGGAATATGGCTGAATAACTGTGTAGTGTTCTTGTCTACTAATTCTATCAGCCCTCCAGTTCTGTATCAGTTTTGATTTACTGATTGATTTATCTCATCATTATGGTTTGTATTTTCTTGCTTTTCATGGCTGGTAATGTTTTATTGGATGCCAGGCATTGTGAATTTTACCTAGTTTGGTGGTGGGTATTTTTTATTCTTGAAATTTGTTCCAGGCTACAATTAAGTTACTTGGGAACTGAGATCCTTTCAGGTTTTACTTTGAAATTTTGTTAGGTGTTACCACAATAGTGCTCAATCTAGGGCTAATTATTTTTCACTACTGAGGCAAGATCCCTCAGAAGTGTATTCTACTGAGTGTCCCATTGATTCTGAGGTTTTTCAGTCTGACTAATGGAAACGGACACTACTCTTAGCCCTGTGTGAGCACCTGGCATTGTTACGTCTAATCTTGGTGGTGGTTCTTTGTCTGTTTTTGAGTAGTTCTCTCTACGTACTGATCAGTACACAGATGAATACTTGAGTGGGACCCTTTACAGATCTCCTAAAGCTCTATGTGCAGCTCTCTCCTCTCTTGTCCTTCTATCCTGAAAACTCTAGCTACCTTCAACTCCCTAGACTCTCAGATCTATCTTCTTAACTCAGGGAAACTACCAGAGTTTGTGCAGGTTTCCCCTTACTATGCTGTGAGCTGGAAACACTCTCAAGTCAACAAGCTGGGGCACTCATAAGGCTTATATCTTTTGTTTCCTGTATCTCAGTGTTCACTGTACTTTATTACCTGATTGCAGTCTCTTGCTGTTATTCTGTCCGTTGGTTTTTTGCTTTCAGTTTTTTTCAAGCAGGAGTATAACTCTCATTCTTTACCTTACCTTGGCAGGGTGGCAAAACCTCATTATCTTTAAAAATATTTCAGAAATATACTGCTTGTATAATGCACCAGACTTAAATAATTTGTGTTAATTTAATATCAAATACATGCCTATTTCTTTACCTCATGACATATAAAAATAGATTTGTAACTACATACATATGACAGCCAGATGATGTAAGTACATTGAATCTCTAAGGCTGAATGGGACTCATGCTCCCATACGTGTGTAATCAAAAATTTCCCTGGAATTTGATCCAGGATTTCACACAAGCCACTTCCTAACCATACCTTCCAGAACCATTCCAGTTTTTGTCTGGATTACTAGTGATAACTAGAACGTACAAAGAAAGTTGATTATATACTATTTGTTAATTGAATGATGTGTTGTTTTCTCATCCAAGTCCCAAAACAATGTCCACAGTATTATTTCTTTAAAATCAGATTGCTCCTTAGTTTAAAATATTTTGTTAAAAAGATCAAGTTATACAAAACTTAGATGTAATCTCTTAAAGTATTGTCAATCAAAATGTTATATGCAGTGTAATAAAAGTCTAACTTTACCACTATTTGCAATAAAGTAAACTGTAACAATCTTTATTTTTGTAAATCCTCTGTGAAGAAACCTTTCAGTAGAATCTGATTTGTAACATTTATAAGTTTTAAATAAACTTAGTTTTTTCATAAAAGTTTTAGTTTTACAGAAAAATTAGGTGGATAGAACAAAGAGTTTCCATCACCCCACATCCAGTTTACCCTACCAACAACATCATACTTTACTATGGTATATGTGTTACAACTAATGAACCAATATTGATATACTATCATACACTATCACTAAGTCTATAGTTTATTCAGATTTCCTCAGTTTTAATTTAATGTCCTTTTTCTATTCCAAGATCCTATCCAGGTTCCCAATTATATTTAGTTATCATGTCTCCTAAAGGCTCCTCCTGACTGTCATTTTTCCAAACTTTCCTAGTTTGTGATGACTGTTAGAATTTTGGGGAATCCCTAACTTAGAATTTGTGTACTTTTTTTTAATCATGATTATATGGTGGTTATGGGTCTTTGGTAAAAATATGCATACATAAAGTACCATTTTTATCACATCTTATCAACAGTACATATGATTATCACTGGTGATCACCGTGATCAGCTGAGATAGTGTTTTTTAGGTTTTTCCAGTATAAAGATACTCATTTTCTCCATTTCAAGAAGTCTAGATACTCTACCCTCAAAGAGATGGGATGTAATTTCCTGCTCTTTTATGTATGTGTTGCACATAGTGACTTCTTGCCAAAGAGCACACTGTAGAAATGGAGAAAATGAGTACCTTTATACTGTAAAAACCTAAATGGGAGCTCTGGTAGCATAGTGGCTAAAGCACTTGACTGCTAACCAGAAGGCTGGCGGTTCAAACCCTCCAGCTACTCCTCGGAAGGAAGGTTGGGCAATCCTACTTCCGTAGTGATACTGCCTCGGAAACCAAAGGAGGGGTCACTATGAGTTGGGCCGACTCGACAGCACATAACAACAACAACAAATCTATATAATAAATTATTTGGAATTTTACTAATTTTATTTCTCACCCATTTATTTATTCAATCATTTATTTATATCAGCATTGACTTGTGGGATTTATTTTCTACTTTGAGTTACAATCCAGTATTACTTTATTTGGTTGTTCAAATTGTTACAGCTTGACCATTGGAAAGGAGCTCTGGTGGTGTAGTGGATAAGGCACTTGACTGCTAACCCAAAGGTCAGTGGTTAAAACCCATCAGCCATTCCATAGAAGGAAGATGGGGCAATCTACTTCCTTAAAGATTTACAGGCTTGATAACCCAATGGCGGTTGCCATGAGTCAGACACGACTCAATGGCAGTGACTTTTTTTGATCATTGGAAGCTCTTTCAGTTAGCTCCTAAGACATTGACAGTTGTTTAAATTACAGTAAAATCTTCAAAATGACTACCCTACCCAGTGGTTAAATTACTCCTTAAGGTTAATTCAGGTATTTAGGAAAATACTTTGGTTTCAAGTGATACATGACATGATATTCTAGTGGCCCATAAGAATTCATCTGAAGGAAGTAAAGACTAGGGAGACAGAAGACTAGGGATAAAAGTATCCATTGTGCACTAAAATATTTTAAGACACTAGTGAAACAGAAAGAACCACCCAGCTGGTCCTAGCAACTGACACAACTGTGGGAAATAATAAAACGGTTGTTTAAGAAAAAAAAAAAAAAGATAAAAGAAAAGAAACTAATGAAATAGAAAGATAAACTGAAAAATGCAAACCTTTTAAAGCAAATCTATAAATGGCTTCACATGCTTTAACTAGAATTTCTTCTTCTGGAGAATTAAGCATTAACACCACAGTTGCTGCTTTTTTGCTTTCAATTGTTAATGGATCAAACTGAAATGCAAAGAGGAAAATATGAGGTTCACATATGAGCTTTAAAAATCACATTAAAAAATGGTGTCTCAAAACTTAAAAAGAACATATCTTACAAAATGGATGTGGTCAATGCACACTAAGAGTATTGTACAGTTTGTATTTAAAACCAAAACAGTAAAAAACATCACTGGTAGAGAAACAGTTTTTGACACTGGTGTTCTTAGAATTCCTGAGATATATGGTGGAAACAGCAAAGAATTTTGGAGTCTGAAAGATCTAGTCTCTCAATTTAGACATGCAAAATCAAACAAGTTTCATAACCTCCTAGAATTTTAGTTTCTCATCGTTACAGTCTTGGGAGTAAGATTGAGCAATCTACTTCCATATAGATACTGCCTTGGAAACCCAAGGAGGGGTTAAATCAACTGTATGGCAGGTTGTTTTTTTTTTTTTTTTTTTTTAATCGTTACAGTGGGGATAATAATACTTGTTTCAAAGGATCAGAGAGAGGATTAGAGTTCATACATGCAAAGCACTTAGCACACTGTCTGGCACATAGTAGATAGTAACTGAATAACATTTTATAATTCTTATTCAATACCCAAGAATTCTTGAATGTTTGTACATACTAGATGCCTGATAGCTTCACTAGTTATTGACTACTTTCCAACCACTAGAATCTTTCTGGGCAAGCAGGAATCATACATTAGAAAGATTTAAAAAGCAATGCAAAACAAAATGCAAAAGTGGATAGACTCTGAAACAGAGGAAATGGTAAAAGAAGTGGTATAACAAAGTATGAACTCAAAGGGACCTTGGTCCCGGTGAGACCTTGGGAATTCATGTGTAGCTGAATTATAAATAATAAAACCTACAACCCTGAAAGCATTCTTAGGTAAAGGAGAAAAGTTATTACAATGTTTATCCATTTCTCCAGACTGGTGGAGGAGGAAGTTCTGCCTAAATTAAAGAAAAAATTCTCTATGATTTCAAAGCTTCACCTGGTTCTTTGTGTTAGACCTTGCTATGTGAACATCTTACTATGATTTTCATTACAAAAGACTTGAAATTTAACCTAGGTAAGGGATGGAGAGATAGATTACTCTGCATAAGGACAGAGAATCTATTTAAAGTAGCTCTGTTACTCTCTAACACCACCCTACTTTATTTTCTTCATTGATCCAAATACTACCTGATTAATTTTGTTACTTGATGTGGATATATCATGATCTCTACAGAATTACAATTCTCAAAGGAATAGAGTACACTGAAATACATTTAAAACAAAACGTTACATAAATGTCATATAATTTTTCTTAAATGCTTTAAAAGCATTTTGCCACATCTTTTAGTCATCACTAAGAAAAGAGTGATATGGGGCACTAGAAGCTTAAAGGGATATTAAAATTGTGAGAGTTACAATGTAAAGAGCTGTTAAATGAGGAAAAAGACCAGTATTTTGCAGAGACTGGAGAAAGCTGGCATGACACTGGTTTCTCCTATAGAGCCTACAGTATTATAGTAGGTTTTTTTTATTTAAAAAGGAACTGAGAATAAAATGATACCTATAACAGAATGCCACATGAGTATATAAGTAATACTGTGCTGTAATTACATATCTCATCTGCTTTCCCATGAGGAAGTCACAGTCACCAATAAGCTTGTTGTGAAATTGTAATTCCATGCGCTATATAAAAGGATGATTAACTAAAATTATTTACAAAAGGAATGAAAGGAAGGGGAAGCATTTTGGCTAAGCTTTGACTTTTTAAGCCCAATCATTTAGAGAGCCTGTAAACTTATAAAAAATACTTTTACATCACTATTAAGGAAATAAGGCTGCCTAGAATAATGTTGTCCAATAGACTTTTCTGTAAGGATAAAAATGTTCCATAATCTGTTCCATTATACAATCGCAAGCGACATGTCACTTTTGAGCACTTGTAGTGTAACAGAGGAGTTGATTTTTTTTTATTTTATTTATCTTTATAACCTAAATAGCTACATTTGGCTAGTGCTAGCCCAAGTCTAAAAGAATACAAAATTATAAAACTGAACTCAGGGAAAATGGGTAGATCATGACAGATGAATTATTTTGAAGGTGCCAATACTGTTCTGTGCCAAGAGTTGATTCCAACTCACAGTGACTTCATGTGACAAAGTAGACCTGGCCCAACAGGGTTTCCTAGACTTTAATCTTCGCAGGAGCAGATTGCCAGGTCTTTTCTCTCTCAGAGTTGCTGGAGGGTTTGATCTCCTTTCGGTTAGTAGTCAAGGGCTTAACCATTGTGCCACTAGGGCTCATTTAAGATGCCAGTATTAATACAAGGCTTTTGTGATTTCTATTAGAATGTGTTTACCAGGTCAGGAGTCCCAGATCATAAGAAGCCAACTGCAGAAGGAAAAGAGAGACAGATAAAATGCATTCATGTGAAATGAATGTATAGTGGAGAATACATAGACATCAGTAAAAATCGAATGAAAGTAAAGGTTAAAATGAAAATAGCTACAATGAGAAGAAGGTGGAATAGGCAGACAAGCTATACAGACCCTCTTCAACAAAGAAAAGAGAAATCAATTGACACAGATATAGACAATAATCCTGAAGGCTTGAGCTTTGAAGAAGGATACAGAAGTGGATTAAACACCTACTAGTAGAAGAACCTGAACGAATAAGGAGACAAATGGAGCTGCAGACTGTCAGCTATACTGATGGGATGGAGACGCTGAATATTTCCAAGTGGTGTCAGGACCTGAGAATTAACCTAAAAATTGGCCCTGCTCACCAAGGGCTGAATGGGATGTCTACACTGGTAGCTGACTACTAAAATGGAAAACAGCAAAGGAGACAAACTGAGCTGTAGACTTTTGGCTGTCCAGAGGGTGCAGTCATTTTGAGTATTTATAAGTACTGACCATTTTGGATATTTAAAGTGACAGCATTCTTGTTCAGATTCCAGGCACTTAAGAATAGGCTCCACTTGCCAAGGACAGCAGAGATATACTGAACATTAACGAATGGAAAGGAGACAGGTGGTGAGTGCCTAAGTGCCACCAATGAGTGAATAAAGGAGCATAGTACCCTGCTTACTCAGATACATCCAAACAAAACAAAGAAAATTAAAATCTTGGGTGAATCACTCCAACTTGTAATCACCAATTAAGTATAAATACAATAGTGTCACAATGTCTCAGAGACAACAGACCATCACAGTCCATACAAACAAACAAGATACAGCAGTAGAAACAAGGGACCAGGATACAGACCCAGAACACAACACTGAGGAAGAAGCAGCATTGGAACACCCCAATAAGAAATTCAAAAGAAATATATTTAGGTGGCTTCAACAGATTCAGAGACAGATCAAGGAAAACACTAACAAAATTCAGGAAAACACAAACAAAACCCTAGAACAATTTCAGAAGACAATACAAGAACAAAATGACAAATTAAATGAAAAATTAGAAATAATACAAAATCTATAGATAGAAATCCAGAAGATTAATACTAAATTTTAGAACTAGATAACATTGAATGGGCAAAGTGTAGAATTGATTCAATGGAAGACAAAATTAGTGAGAGTGAAGGCAAATACCTGAATACTTCTTTGGAAAAGGAATAATCAGAGAAAAGATCAAAACAAAATGAAGAAAGCCTTAAGATTCATGTGGGATACCATCAAGAGGAATAACCTACGTGTCATCAGAATTCCAGAACAGGAAGAGAAGAATAAAACCACGAAGAAAATAGTCAAAGATCTGTTGGAAGAGAATGTCCCTGATATGATGAAAGCTGAGAATATATCCATTCAGGAAGTCCAATGGACCCCAAACAGGATAGACCCCAAAAGAAAATCACCAAGATGTACCATCATCAACCTCACCAAAACCAAAGACAAAGAAAGAATCCTGAAAGTAGCATGGAAAAACAAAAAGTTACCTACAAAGGGCAACCAATAAGACTAAGCTCTGATTTCTCAGCAGAAACCATGCAGGCAACAAGGCAATGGGATGGTATATATAAAACCCTGAAAGAAAAAAATTTCCAACCAAGAATTATATACCCGGCAAATCTGTCCCTTAAATATGATGGTGAAATTAATACATCTCCAGAAAAGCAGAAATTAAGGGAATTTGTTAAAACCAGACCAACCTTACAACAGATGCTAAAGGGAGTCCTTTGAACAGAGAACCAACAACAGTAAACAATAACCAATCTTTCACACACATGATGACATAACCCAGAAACCAACCAAGTTATGGTAGTATCCAAAGTAAAATAAGCTTACAAGATTGTAAACAGGGAACCAGAGACATCAGTTGGCAAATGAGGACAATTGCAAACCAAAAAGAGGGAAAAAGTAGTATAGTTGTAGTATTTCTAAATGGTGAGGAAGTCAAGACAATTGCAAGACAGAACAGACTGTTCTAAACTTGGAAAGAAATTTATAAATCACAGCGTAACCTCAAAGAAATTTTTTTTTTTACATTAAAAAAAAATCAAAATAAAAAAAGAGGACAACCACAAATATTTAGCAAATACTAAAACAGTAGCAACAAAGGAAATGATAACATGATTCATAAACAAAATGAGCTCAGCACAGAAAATTATATAGAAGAAAGAAATCAGGAACACCATGAAAAAGCACATAACAAAATGACAGCAACAAATTTATACTTGTTGATAATTACATTGAATGTCAACAGATTAAATGCACCACTCAAGAGATGGAAAGTTGCAGACTGGATAAGAAAACATAACCCATCAATATGCTGTCTACAAGGGACACATCTTAGAGACAAAAGACAAAAATAGACTAAAAATCAAAGGTTGGAAAAAGATATATCAAGCAAATGGCAACCATAAAAGAGCAGGAGTGGTAATATTAATTTCTGATAAAATTGACTTTAACACAAAAACTGCCATAAGAGACAAGGAAGGACATTCTATAATGATTAAAGGATTGATTAAACAAGAGGACATAACAATAATAAATAATTACCTATGCACGCAATGC